CACATTTCCCCCAAGCTCAGCACTGGATTTTGTTCAGATGATGCTAGCAGCTGTACCAGAGCTGGAAGTATCACCTGGGGGAAATGTCAGTTTTCAAGAGGACACTGGTCTCTTGCTATTTAGCCTATTTAGGGTGAGAGGGAAGAAAGGAAAGAGACAAAGACAGATCCTGGTCTCAACCCAATACTGAGAGTTCCTCTCCACTGCAGTAGGGACAGAGGACAGAATAAAGAGCCACATCTATACTTACTATTATTTCACATAGATGATTCCATTAACTATATAAATAGGTGCAATCAGAGTCTTAGTATTGGATTAACGAGGTCCTTGGAGAGGAGCAAGGAGGTTTGGATTAGGAGTGAAGAGGTGGCCTACAGCTCCTTCTGAAGGCCATTGAGCAACACACCTACACTCACCATTGTTCTCTGCTCTGGACAGAATGTGCGGCAGGTTCCTGAGAAGGCTGATGGCTGAGGAGAGCAGGCACTCCACCCCTGTGGGGCGCCTCATCCTTCCGGTGCTCCTGGGATTCCGCCTCGTACTGCTGGCTACCAGTGGGATGGGGGTCTATGGCGATGAGCAGGATGAATTTGTGTGTCACAACCAGCCGCCAGGCTGCAAGGTTGCCTGCTACGATGCCTTCCACCCCCTCTCCCCACTGCGTTTCTGGGCCTTCCAGATCATGCTGGTGGCGGTGCCCAGTGTCCTCTACTTGGGTTTCACCCTGTATCATGGCATCTGGCATTGGGAAGACTCAAGAAAAGGGAAGAAGGAGGAGGAGACCCTGATCAGACAAGGACAGGGCAGCGCAGATGTCTCCGGGGCTGCAAGCCGCAGGCTGCTCTGGGCCTATGTGGTGCAGCTGGGGGTGCGACTGGCCCTTGAGGGGGCCGCCTTGGGAGGGCAGTACCATCTGTATGGGTTCAAGATGCCCAGCTCTTTTTCATGTCGCCGAGAGCCTTGCCTCGGGAGTATCACCTGCCACGTGTCCCGCTCCTCGGAGAAGACCATCTTCCTAAAGACCATGTTTGGGCTCAGTGGGCTCTGTCTCTCCTTTACTCTTTTGGAGCTGGTGCTCCTGGGCCTGGGGAGATTGTGGCGGACCTGGAAGCAAAAATTTCCCTCTTCTAAGTACTTCACAACTTCAGAGGGCACCAGAAAACACAAGGAACCAAACGATAACGTCCCAGTGGTGGAATCAAAAGACCAGTTCCGAGTAGCAGGTGAGAAGGGCACCGATGTCCCTCATCCTTCTTGCCTGATGGCTCTGTGCTGAGGATCCCCTCTTGGCAGGACCCTTACATGTACAGCTCCCACAGGTTACAAAGGGAAAAAGTAAAGGGATTAAGCAAAAGCAAACAAAACAAAACAAAACACCTGCCCTGTCTAGCTTGGCATAGGGTGTCAGCTTGGACTGAGGGGGCCCCAGGTTCGATTTTTGTCAAGGACATGTACCTTGGTTGTGGGCACATCCCCAGTAAGGGGTGTGCAGGAGGCAGCTGATCAATGTTTCTAACTCTCTATCCTTCTCCCTTCCTCTCTGTAAAAATAAATAAATAAATAAAATAAATAAAATAAATAAATTATATTTAAAAAACAACAAAACAACACCTCACAGACACAGGCAGCAGTATGGTGATTTCCAAAGGGAAAGGGGAGTTGGGGGGAGGTAGAAGAGGGTATACAGAGCAGAGTAAGTGGTGATGGAAGGAGACTTGACTTGGGATGAATACACAATACAATATATAGATGATGTTATAGAATTGTACATCTGAAACCTATATAATTTTATTAACCAATGTCACTCCAACACATTAAATCTTTTAAAAAATATATATTTTATTGATTTTTTACAGAGAGAAAGGGAGAGAAATAGAGAGTTAGAAACATCGATGTGAGGGAAACATTGACCAGCTGCCTCCTGCACACCCCCTACTAGTGATGGATCCTGCAATCAAGCTACATGCCCATGATCAGAATCCTACCCAGGACCTTTCAGTCCACAGGCCAATGCTCTATCCACTGAGCCAAACCAGTTAGGGCTAAATCTTTTTTTTAAAGTAGAAAACCAGGTTTAAGTAGATGCTCTGACCACTGCTCCAACCCAGCTCCCATCCCCATCAATTTGATGACTTTTTCCCATGAACCCGGACCAGAGTGCTCAGTCAGTTGTACCTCCCTGTGCTTCCATTGAGGTCTCTTCCCATTTAGAAAGTCTCAGCTTCTGCTTGATTTTCTACTTTGCAGAGTTATAAAGATGCCTGGCTCAACTCTGAAGGATACTCCATGACTGGAACTTCTCCCCAACATCCAGTGAGTGGGGATATATCTCTGTGACAAGTTAGAGGCTGTAGAAGCATCTCTAAAGGCCATGGTGGGCCATACTGCCTAAAGCATTTCCTTCAAGAACTCCTGCTTGTGCCTTCTTTCCAGAACCCTCTGGTGTCAGCATCACAGTTTTCATGGGCTTCGTTTGAATAAGCCAGCAGAAACTCCCATAAAACCAAGCCTCACCCTTGTCCTGTGTAATAAAGATTGATGACTGTTGGTGGCATTCTTGTTACTAAAGACATTTTTCTTCTTTCTCAGTGACTCTACTTATCTCTCTTCTGTGGTTCTACATTTTCTGCTTCCCCAATTTCAAAGTCCTGAAACCCTGAATACCCCCAGCCTTGCAGTATATGTTATATCCATAAACTCTGGCCTTCCAAGCATATATAACCTAGTGTCCTTTTAATATTTGGATTAGATTTATTCAAACACCTGACCATATCCCTTAGGAAGATTACTGTGAATTCAGAGGCTTATGTCCCCTGGACCATTGACTCATTGAGCATATTATGGGAAAGGCAGTGTCTGACATTGGAACACAAGAAGATTTAAAGACTTCATCCATAAGTAAAGGAACAAGTGGAATCTACACTAATAAAAGAGAAATATACAAATTGACCACACCTCCATGATGACAATAAGCCAATCAGGAGTGAGGATGCAAATTAACCCAACAAAGATGGTGGGTTAATTTGCATACACAGGCACAAAGCAAAGACTGAAGGCTTTGGCCTGATTGAAGACAACTGAAGATGACTGAAGAGGCTTGGCTTCTCCACTGCAGCTCGAACCAAGGCCTGGGTCCCAGGTGCTGGAGGGAAACTGGTGTCAGCAGCCAGGGGAAGGAAGGTCTATTGCACCTTCTATACTCATAAAAGCCTAGATGGTGTCTTGCTCTTGTGTCATCACAAGATGGCCACCCCATGTTGTCACAAGATGGCTGCCATAAGATGGCCAGCAGGAGAGGGCAGTTGTGGGAGATCAGGCCACCAGGGAGGGCAGTTCGGGGGTGACCGGGATGGCAGAGGAGGGCAGTTGGAGGTGACCAGGCCTACAGGGGAGAGCAGTTGGGTGGGGGGGACTGGACTGGTAGGGGAGGGCAGTTGGGAGCAATCAGGTCGGCAGGGGAGCAGTTAGGCATAATCGGACTGGCAGGGAAGCAGTTAGGGGGATGATCAGGCAGGCAGGCAGAGAGGCGAGTGGTTAGGAGCCAGCAGTTCCAGATTATGAGAGGGATGTCCGACTGCCGGTTTAGGTCCTGAGGGATTGGGCCTAAACCGGCAGTCAGACATCCCCTGAGGGGTCCCATATTGAAGAGAGTAGGCTGGGCCTCTAGTAATAATAATAAAAAAGCACTCAGAAACACAAGATCAAAAATCCATTGAAAAGAAACAAATAATTTCCTGAAACAGGCAAGCATATTATTTGTAGAAAGCCTTAATGAAAGAAAGCCCTCCTTGGGATAGCAGTATGGTTGCTGTCTTCAAGCTGGGTCCAAAAGGCAATGTATCTGTGCTTCTGAATCTTAATCACTCCCTCTTTAAAAAAAACTTATTTTTCACTCTCTTTCCCAGTCTTTCACAACAGCTATAGCTTCAGCTCCACTCTCTAAGCATTGCTCTCTCATCTTGGTCTTGACCTCATCAGGTAGGAGGATCAGAAACTGCTCCAGCACCAGCACCTACAGGATTTGCTCCTTCCCAGCATCTTCAGTGACTCAGCAGACCCTCCAGAGCTGGCACAAAGCATCATCTGTTCCTCAGACCTCCTGGGAGCTAAACTAACTAAAACACTGATGGGAAGTCAAACCTGGAGATCATCTTATCCGGGATTCCTTCCCCTAACTTAACCACTAGAACCCCTATCAGCATTGGGTGAGTGCACCATGCCCGGAGAAGGGATTTCCCTCTACCTGGGGTCTGTTTCTTAGGCTGAGGAAGCAAGCGAAGGAAACCAGGGTGACAGGACCATCAGATAGCTCCCCAAACACCCCCTTTCCTGCACACATCACCGGAGTTTCACCAAACTCCAGAGAAGAGTGGAGGAGAGTCGGTGGGCTTTGTTGGGGACTAGGGTATCCTACTTTTTTTCTATGAACTCAACCAGACCTTGGGGCTGGAGGATGAGAAGGGGCTCCTTTCCTTGCAGAATGAGACTGAAAAGAGGGGGGACTTCAGGGAGAGCAAGCCTCGAGGCCCAGCGCCTTCTAAGCCCCATTCCATAGGGCCCAGCTGCACGGACCTGTCCTTCTGGGTGCAGCTTGCCTAGGACCCAGCGCTCAAATCGCGGAGCAGCCAGCGGCCCTCAGCTCACCTCCCACACCTGACCCGCCGGCCCGGCCCGTTAGCGCCCCGGGTTCAGCTGCACAGGCGCAGGCGCCGCCCTCCCGGCCCGGTGATTCTCGGCATCCGCTCCGGGCTTCGGGGGGGGGGGGGGGGCGGAGGGAAGCGGGTAGTGGAGGGGGCGGGGGTTCCGCATTTCTATTGTTGGCCGGAGGAGCGGCCCAAGTCCAGTCCGAAGGGTGTCCAGGCCTGGGAGGCCACTCCCGCGCGCCCCCGCAGCCCCGGAAGTGGGGCTCCGCGCCCGCAGCCCCGGAAGTCGGACTGCGCTTCCCCGGCGCCCGCAGCCCCGCGACGGTCGGCCGGGCGGGCTCGGGTCGGGGAGGCGTCATGGAGGCCGAGGAGCTCCAGGAAGAGCTGAGCTGCCCCATCTGCCTGGACTTCTTCAACGACCCGGTGTCCATCGAGTGCGGCCACAACTTCTGCCGCCGCTGCCTGCGCCGCAGCTGGACGCCGGCGGACGGGCTGTTCCTGTGCCCCGAGTGCCGGCAGCCGTCGGCGCCCGGCGCCCTGCGGCCCAACTGGGCGCTGGCGCGGCTCACGGAGAAGACGCGGCGGCGGCGCCAGGGCCCCGTGCCGCCCGGGCTGTGCGGCCGCCACTGGGAGCCGCTGCGCCTCTTCTGCGAGGACGACCAGCGGCCCGTGTGCCTGGTGTGCCGGGAGTCCCAGGAGCACCAGGACCACGCCATGGCGCCCGTGGACGAGGCCTTCGAGAGCTACCGGGTGAGCCCGCCGCGGGCCGCCGGCCGGCCCTGTGTTTGCCGTTCCCTCCGCGGCCCTGGAAGACACGGGGTGGCGGCCAGGCCCCATTGGAGGCAGGAAACCAGACCCCTTTGAGGCGCAAAGAAGTGGTGCTACGCGGAGCTCAGAGCTGAAGCTGAAACAGGGGGCGGGGCGGGGCGGCACCCCGGATTTCCCGGGAACTGGCTAGATTCCCCTGGGGAGCTGCTAGTTTCAGGCTTACACTCCGAGTGGGCGTGTGCATACCAGTGCTGTCCAATAGAAACGTAAGGCAGACCACGTGGATACGTTTTATAGTGGTCAAAGAGCAGGTGACGCTCATTTAAAAAAAAAAAAAGATACATTTTTATTGATCTCAGAGGAAGGGAGAGCGATAGAAAGAGAGAAGCATCAAGGAGAATCATTGATTGGCTGCCTCCTACACGACCCCCTACTTGGTGTAACTCCAGTGGTCTCCAACCCACAACCCTGGCGTGTACCCTTGGTCGGAATCGAACCTGGGACCCTACAGTCCGCAGGCCGATGTGCTATGCACGGAGCCAAATGAGCTAGGGCACGTTCATTTTTAGTAATGTATTTTATTTACCTAATTATCTAAAATACTGTTTAACATTGTTCTTAGGAAATATCAGTGAGATATTTATTTATTTATTTTTCATAGTAGACATTTAAAGTTCTGTGTACTTCATTTACAGCACATATTAATTTCAACTGTCCCCATTTCGGGTGCTCACTGCCTAATGGCTGTTGTATTGGACAGTGCAGGTCTGTCCTGTGGGCGTCATAGACAAGTATTTGGGAAAAGCCTGGTTTGGAGTAATAAGGCGAGGTTTTGTTACCAGCTTCTTTAATCAGTTGGGAAATCACTTCATATTTGAATTGTATATTATTTGTCCTGTTTCACACGTTAGTTAAGAAGCTTCTGTTAAATAAATCAGTTTATCCACTCTGCTCCAGCCACACTGGCCTTCTTGCTTTTGTTTTCAAGGCTGTTCTCTTTCTCTACCCACACCTTCTGTCCTTTAGATCTTACTTGCTTTTAGCTTGAAGATCTTCCTTGATCATCTTTTCCAGAGTAGCTCTACCCCCTTCCATTACTGATGGTGTAACTCCAGTGGTCTCCAACAGAATTGGTATCTAGTAAGTACTGGTTGAATGCACTCACTTAATGACACAAGTGAAATGATTTTGTAAAATATAAAATGTACGGTTTTATCAGCTGACTACAAACAGGAAACAGATGTAAAGCTGGACAGTGAAGTGTATAGTAATTCATTCAGCAACATTTATTGATGCTTACTGCATGCCAGGCATTGTTCTAGAATCTGGACATAAACAAATGAGAAAGACATAGGCCTTGTCTTATAAGCATGTACACCAACACTTTTAGTGTCTGAGAGTTACCCAAGTTTGTACCAAGTACCCAGAAAGTCTGAGGTCAGAGTGATCAGTGATGAGCGAGGAATGGCATTACAGAAGCATTACACCTGAGTTCAGCCTTGAAGGGTAAGTACAGCAAGAGAGGGGAGAGGATATTCAGGCCAAGGGGACAGAGTGGCAGTGTGGGACAGCGCGTGTGATAGGTCAGAGGACTGGAGGTTGCTTAGAACTTCTGGAGTACAGAACATGGGCGGGAGGATGGTGGGAGTTGTTGAGGTTGAAGAAAGGAAGGATGTTGTTCATAGCTTTCTCTTTGAGGCAATGGGCATTGAGGATTTAAAGGCAGGGAATGACACCATCAGTTTTTTGTTTTAGGAAGAACACTTTGATATCTATGTGGTTAGAGAAGACCAATTAGACTGTTGTTGCACCATTTCAAGCAGGAGGCAGTAAGGGCCTGAATTAGTGCAGGGCAGGGGCGATGGAGAGAGGGGATGGGTTCATTTTGAATGCTGGAGTTGAACGACGTGGTGACTAATTGGACTCAGTGGGTAAGAGAGAGAGAGGAGTGTAGGATGCTAGTTTCTAGTGCTCATTTTGGGACATGTTGAGTGGAGGCAACTGTGACAATAAGTCCAAGGATGAGGGACAGGAGGTAGGGGGCATCAGAGGCTCAAAACACTATTTTAGAATTGTCAGCCTACCCATAGGAGAAGTAAGCAGGTGAGATTCCCCTAGGGCAGTGTTTCCCAAACTTTTGACATATGTGTACCCCTTCTATAATTTTCGTAACGCTGAGTACCCCTCGTACTCATGAGAACGTAGAATTAGGCACAGCTAAGCACGGTGCAGTGCATATCCCCACCAAACTCTTCCCGTACCCCTGGGGGTACGTGTACCACACTTTGGGAAACACTGCCCTAGGGGAACCACATGGATGGTAAGAAAAAGGGGGCATAAAGAGAAGCTTGGGAAATACCAGTGCTTAGTCGCCAGCAAAAGAGATCGAAAGGACCCATCAGAGAAATGGAAGGGAAAATACATTTGTGGGTGAGGGCTGAGGCAAATAAAGTGGGTGGTTATGAAAGGAGAACAGGGCCCTTAAATCTTAAATCAACTCCTCCTGCACGCTCCCTACTGGGGATGGAGCCTGCAACCCAGGTATGTGTCCTAACTGAATCGAACTGTGACCTCCTGGTTCATGGGTTGACACTCAATCACTGAGCCACACCAGCCAGGATCAAAAGGTCTTTTAGATGAACACAAGTTGGTTTTGAAAAGTCAGTGGCAGAAAAAGAGGACAGAGAGAGAGAAATAGCTTCATAAACTTGAGGAAGCAGATTATTTGCACGGAAAGGCTTTTAAGTACTGATCTTCTTACTCTCATGCCATTCTGCTGAATCTCAAAGCTAATCCCTTCATTACTATTAATTCATCTAACAAATACTTCTTGAACACCCTTTTGTGTCAGACATTATACTACAGCATCAGACATAGCACTGGGAATAGAATGGTGAATAAGACAGGTAAAGACTGTTCTTATGAAGTGCATTGTCTATTTGGGCTGAGGGTAGGAGGTAGACAGTAGACAGACAAATAAATGAAATAATCACGGATTGTGATACACTGTGAAAGAAATAATGTACCATGCCAGACAAGTAGCTTTCTCTCAGTTGACATTCAGTTAAGACTTGATAGAGGAGTGGGATCCAGCCATCTGAGGAACAGTGGGAAGAACATTCCAGGTAGTGGCCAGCAAATGCCCTGAGGCTGGGAAGAGCCTGGCCCTGAAAGAAGGTCCAGGTGCCAGGAGCATCACGAGTGAGGGGGAAAGTAGCATAAGATGACTTGGGTTAAACAGGCCATAATAAAGTGTTTGAATTTTTCTGGTGGTGAGGAAAGCCAGTAAAGAATCTTAAGCAGGATAATGACGTGCTCGGATTGGCTTTTAGAAAGATTTTTTCAGCTACTTTGTGAATATCAGATGAGAGAAGGACAAGATTGGAAGTAGGAAACCAGTCATGGGGTTGTTATACACGTCCAGACAAGAGATGATGGTGACTGAACTAGAGAGTGGGGACATAAGGGGGCTGGTTTGATGTTTATTTTGGAGGTACATCTACCTGCTTGATTACAGTGACAGAAATGCACAGGACCTACGAGCTGGGATGGTATTTAAGTGGTCATCTAATCCATTTGTCATCAGCTGTGACCCAGGAAATGTGTGAGGCTCAGATACATAACTAGTTTGTGAAGGTCTAGATTGAAACTCCTATCTGATTTGAAGTTAAATGTTACTTGAACAACATGATCACAAGCAGCAAATATCTTCATTCTGCAAGTGTATGTACTTTTATTATACCTATGATTTTATATGCACAAATTTTTCTGATGTTAAATCAAGAGAAATGGTTTTTAAAAACCAGCTAGTCAGCTTTGAAATGTTTGGTGCTGCCCTCCTGCCACCTCCTGGCAGTTTCTGTTACTGCAGGGAAGGAGTTTTCTGATCTCCCCAAAGGGCTCCCAAGTTTTCTCCAGGACCATAAATATCCCAACTGTGGCAAGATTCAGAAAGACTTTAGAATCTTGGATAATAGAACCAACTATGCAGGATAATTCATGCATACTAGAATTGTTAAAAGCTTTAAAAATGGAAAAATTCTATTTAAAAGATTAATTTGTTTTCATTATCAAAAGTGAAAACTTAAAATCTTGGTCACATACATATCAGCTATTTATCTCATTACAAGCCTCATATATACATTGAACTTGACAGTGATCACAAAGTAGCAGTTATATAGCTGAATAAAATAATAAGATTATTTGAGATAATCACTTACCTTACAGAGTAGCAGGATTATATACCTATTTAAGTGAGCAACTAGGAGTAATAAGTCGATTTTGTAATGCTACAAATAAAATATTATATTAGAAAATTATACAAGTGATATTGTGATATAAAACAGAACTATATAAATTCCTTTATAACCTAATGTTATTCCCCCCCCCCCCATTTACTGTACAATTTTCAAGCATGCATCAAATTTGGAAGAATCTGTGTATATAAAAGGCTAAGTGACCAGCCAACTGGCTGACCGGCCAGTTGGTATGATGTGCACTAACCACCACGGGGCAGATGCTCAACACAGGAGCTGCCCAGCGACAACAACTTTGCAGAGTGCCCTCTTGCACTCCGGGGGATGTCAGATGGGATCCCTGCCAGAGGGACCCCGCTCACTCCGCAGACGCCCTTCAGGCCATGGTGCCACCCTAGGTGCGGCCGGCGGGGGAGGGACCATAGGAAGTTGGCTCCAATGCCTGTCCGGCCCATCTTGCCCTGTCCCACTCCACCAGCCACCTTCTAATTAATTTCCTTTCAATGTGCATGAATCCATGTACCAGGCCTGTAGTTTTATAATAATATCAATATACCCACATCTAGGTACTACCATTAACATTTTATTCAATTTTTTAATCATCTATCTGTTCATTTTTCTATATCTTCTTTGTATCCATCAATAATTATTTCCTTTTGAAGCATTTTAAAGTTAATTGTAGGCAGTACTTTCTCCTATACTTTAGCATGCTCAGCATTAACCAGAGTTAACATTTATATTAGTTTTTGAGGTAAAATTTAATATAATGAAATAGATATATTGATTATTTTGGTAGTGGTTTGTTGCATAGATTATTAGAAGTAGTATTATGTTCATTTAAAATTTTATGAAATCTTGCCACTGCCCTTCTAAAAGATGCAACTTTATACTTTCCTACTTATGATGGTGCCAGAAGCTTTTTCTACCCTGCCAATGCTAGGTACTTATTAATTATCTAACAGTGGTCAGTTTTTGCCAATTTAATAGGCAAACTCTATATAGTTTTGTAGTGATTTAAGACCAGAATATTTCTTATTCTGAAGATGGCCTGTTTAGGTTAGGTGACTTTTTTTTTTAAAATTAAATTATTATCTGTGTACATATTTTAACATTGCGCCTCCCCCCCCCCCCCCCCCCCCCCCCCCCCAGTTAGGTTACTTTTTAAAGCTCTTGAACAAGGAAGTTGCTTGGAGAGATGATTTCTGTCTAACATGTGTTTCTGCTGGCAGGAAAAACTTCTCATGACTCAGTGTAATCTAACGGCCAAGATGAAGAAAGCCATGCACTTACAGGACGTGGAAGTGAAGAATGCTGCAGCGTGGAAGGTGGGCAGCAGCGGCAGTGGTTGGACACTTCTTGCCTCTGAGGCCCTTGCAGTCTGTGCCTGCTTATGTAGTTTTGCTGGGATGAGCTTTTAGGAGGCCATCAGTTGTCAGGCCCCTTGCAGATAAGGTGTTAGAACAGGAAGTATGTATCTGCCCCCAATGATCTCTGAGTTCCATATACTTCATCCCCATCTCTACGTTAAGGTAGTGCCCCTTTCTTTCCCACTTTTTCCTAAGGTTGGAATTGGTTTGGGTCCATGGCATTGTAGAAAGTAAATGGACTGTGCTTTCAGAGTTGGGAGGCATGATGTGTGTGTGTGCACAAGCACATATCTAAATGTTTACCAAAACTGGAGAGTAGGTATTCTGAGAGCTAAACTAAGTAGTAGATGTGAAAGTGCATTTTGGTTTAAAAAGTACGCAAACAAAGCATTGATAGCTATAGTAGAGACCCAGATGCTACAAAGAATAAACGAACACTATGAAGGCTACTATAAAGATAGCAAGTAAGTTTGAATAGAGGAGCAGTGGAAATTTGTGGGGCGGGATAGGCAGGAGCTTTTCTGGAGGAGGTGATTAAAATGGAAGGACCATGGGCTCCTGGGGAGTCAGTCCTGTGCAAGGAGTTTAGGAGTAAGGACTGGGCAGAAGCAAGGACTGAGCAAATCTCCTGTGGCTCTAGGACAAGATGAAGAACCAGAAATTGAGATTCAGTGCAGAATTTACGAAGCTGCATGACTTCCTGGCCGAAGAAGAGCAACTGTTTCTTCAGAAGTTGAGCAAAGAAGAAGAAGAGACTAAGAAGAAGCGGACTGAGAACACATTACGGCTCCATCAGATAATCACTTCCCTGAAGAAGCTCATCTTAGAGGTGGAGGAGAAGAGCCAGAGCTCCATCCTGGAGTTGCTTCAGGTGAGACTGGCAGGGGAGGGGTTCGTTAACATCACTAACTGGACTCTTACCTTCAGAGCTGAATGTCTTTCTTAGTGAGTTTAATAGAAGAAACGTTTTCTCTCTGTTGATGATTGTATTACTACTGTCGTTATACAATTAAATAATCAAAGATTTACTATTTAAAGGAACTTAATTCAGTACACTGTAGGTATCATTCACCTGGTCCAATAATTTATCTAGGATCTGAAGCACATCTAAGACTTTTCTATTTGTCTTATTTATATGTTTGTACAGGGTGGGACACAAAAGACTCTGACTGTAAACCTACTTTTGCCCCACCCTGTATTTACCAGCAAACAAGAGGGTAAATAGAAATGAGTTAAGCATGCCAACTCAAGAAGGCAGTGGTTGTGGGAAGAGCTATAGAGCAAACCCAAGAACCAGTAAGGAGAAAAAATGATGATTTCACTGTAGCATTATTTATAGTGGTAATGGTGTTGGGGACAATCTGGGTATCAGTTGCTGAAAGAGGAAACTGGCAAAAAGTGGACACCTGGATTCAATGTATACATAGTAACAGGAATGGATCTTAAAAGCATATGTCTAAGAAAAAACAAAACAAGAAACAGAATGCAACAAGAACTCTAACTCATTGCATAAATGAAAAAAATATAATACATAAAGCTAAGAGATACTACCGTGTTTCCCTGAAAATAAGACATCCTCCGAAAATAAGACCTACTTACAGGTTTCCTTCTGAGTGAAATATAAGGCATCCCCCCCCCCCCGAAAATAAGGCCCCCCCTAGGCTAAACATGAGAAATTTGGACCACTGATTCTGAAAGAAATGGAGTCACAAGAAATTCACCAGGAAATTCAGGAATTGGATTGTTATAATGGATGTTCCAGAAGATGATGACATGATTGTCATTGAATAAATGAGTAAATTTTTGATACTGTAGGATTCACAGTTTGTCTGGTTTGTGTTGACAACTACCGTACTACTGTACCGTATACAGGTAATAAATTTCCTTTATTTTCATTTCACAATAAATGTGTACCATAGTCTTCTTCATGGAAAAATAAGATATCCCCTGAAAATAAGACCTAGCGCATCTTTGGGAGCAAAAATTAATATAAGACACTGTCTTATTTTCGGGGAAACAGGGTATGTATTTTGCAAGAACACGTTAAAAAATTAAGCACAATAGGAGAAACCAAGATGGCTTAAACACCTGAGCTTGCTGCCTTGTACAACTTTAAAACTACAACTAAAAGACAAAACTGACATCATCCAGAACCACAGGAAGGCTGGCTGAGTGGAAATTCTACAACTAGAAGGAAAGAGAAAAGCACACTGAGTCTCAGAGGAGCTGCAGAAGGCAGAGGTACAGAGGCGAACCTGTGTGCACATGCGTGGAGATGGCTGGCAACTGAGTACACGGCTGGCTTTTTCAATCCGCAGGGAGACACAAGCTCCTGAATGCTCTGAAATCCAGTTCCAGGCGAGACTCTGAGGACCCAGACTCATACAGGGAGAAACCAGACTCTCAGAGGTGCTTGCAGCGACTATCAAGGGACACTGAAATCCGGGCCCTCTTAGAGCAGGGCTGACAGGAAGCTTTGCTATTTGCTCTACCCTGAGACTCTGCCCCATCCAAGCTGTGTGCAGAAGCTTTTGTATATGAATGGCCTGGTCCTTTGAAATTTAAACTTACCTATCAAACTGCACCTGAGTCAGAGAGACCCAGAACATCCAAAAGAAAGCCCAAGGCCCCACAGCAGCTTGCATTGCTTCACAGCCTGGCCTCATCTGGTCACCTCCAAAACCCAAACAAAGAAGAGGAATCTGCAGATATCTCCATAGCTCCTGCTGGGTGGCCTCAGGCAGAGGCTAAATTAGCACCTTCTTGGAGATCCAAGAGCCAGTGTACCCAGGGGTCAGAGTAGGACCATCCAGATTACAGCTCCTCAGATCCATAAGGGACACACTCAGGGGGCAGACCCAGTGAGCACCAAAGCCTCACTAAAACAAGTCTTGCCTCATAAGGGTGTCTCCAGCACAGAAGTTATCCCATCGTAGACACAGTTGATCCTCACAGCCGATTGGCCTGGAGGTCATTTCCTCCCAGTGATACCAATAACAATCAAGGCTTAACTACAACATGACTGTGCACACAGCTCACAAAAGGGTGCACCAAGAGTGTCCACCTCAGGTAACTGGGGAGGCTGAGCCACTGGGCCCTATAGGACACCTAGCACACAAAGCCACTCAATCAACTCAGGGAAGCAGCCAAAATGCAGAGACAAAGAAACAGATCACAAATGAAAGAAATGGAGGAGAGCAAACTACTGGATATAGAATTCAAAACCTTGGATATGAGGGGTGACAGTTTTCCATAGTATCAGTACACAAAAACATATTAGTCATTTTACTGTTAACAAACTTTGGATTGTTTCCAGTGTTTACTGAAACAAAAAGCAGTTAAGAATATCTTGTTTTGCTGCACTATGTGTATATTTTCTGTCAGTTATGTATATGTGTTAATGAGAGCAATCTCTGATCACAGTAGTTGTGCCAATTTATACCATTGCTGCAATGTGTGTAAGATCCAGTTGCTCTATATCCTTACCAATATTTAGAATGACCAGTTCTTTAATTTTAGCCATCCGAAATGATGTATGGTGTTATCTCATGCCCTCAGTCAGCACCTCTTCCCTCTTTCTGAAAGGTACATGGTAGTTAATGACAAATGAGGTTGAGTACTTTTCAAATGGTAATTAATCATTTCGACACATTCCCTTTTTAAAAAAACAAACAAAACAAAACAGCTTTCTTGAGATATAATTCCTCCATTTTAAGTGTACAATTGAGCAATATAATTTTATCAAGTTGTTAAACCCTTACAACAATCCAGCTTTAGAGCATTTCCATAAGATCCGTTTTTGTTTACAGTTAATCTCTGTTCTTACCCCCAGACTCCCACAACCTACTTTCTGGTTCTGTAGATTTTACTTTTTTGAATATATCACACAATTATATTATGTCATCTTTGTGTATGTATTCTTTCATCTAATATAATGTTTTTGAGTTTTATTTATGTTGTAGCATACATTAGCATTGCATTTGAATTCCTTTTTAAATTCCTGAGTAGTATTTCATTGTAGAATACAGCACATTTTGTTTATCTTTTCAGAAATTGATGGGCATTTGGGTTGTTTCCATCTTTTGGCTTGTTATGAATAATGCTGCTATGAACATTTGTCTGGCACTCTGTGTGTGAATATATGTTTTCAAAATAGTAGGAGCAGATTTGCTAGTCATTTTGTATATTTAACTTTTTAAGAAGCTGCTAAACTGTTTTCCAAAGTGGCTGAACCATTTTACATTCTTACCACTTCCTAGCCAACATTTGTTATTGTCTCTGATTGAAAGAGAATAGATGGAGAAGTTGGCAAAAAGCACAAGTTAATGTCATAGTGCTAAAAGAGAAAGAATAAAGTTTCAAGAAAGAGATTGATTGACATTGTCAAATGGTACAGAGGGGTCACAGGAGGAAAAAACCTACATTGTGCCAGTTCATTGGCTTTGGCAGCAAGAGATCATATGTGACATAAACAAAAGCAGCTGACAGAAAAATACTGCTCATAAAGATGAGTACAAGCTCTCAAGAAGGAGGTACAAACTTACATCTTTCTTCCTTCTCTTCTCTTTACAGAATCCAAAAGATCTTTTGACCAGGTATGAACTCCTTCTTTCTTATGGGGTCTGCATGCAACGGTAAAGAGACAGCTTGAGTAGAAGGGGGACAAGGCTGGCTGCATAGGTCAATCTGGTCACACCTGGAGGGGCCTCACTTTACAAGGAGACTAGCAGAGAGGTTGTCTAAGCTTTGGAGTTGGAACCTTCATAGGAGTTGGGGGTCTTAACTCCCCTAGTTGTCTCCTAAGTTAGAAGAGCAGCCTTCTGTACTTTTTTTAGGAGTGAGAACCAAGATGTAAACTACTCCCTTGAAGTCCTGGAGGTGAAGACTATGTGCCATATACCATTGATGAAGGAAATGCTGAAGCGATTCGAAGGTGAGCAGAATTTCTAGGAGTTGGAGCTCCCTATAAGTCTTTAAAATAAGAGAATAAACAGAGAAAAGTCTGGAAAGAAAGGAGGAAATAGGATATGAAGCCAACTGGAGGGTCGGGGAAAAAATGGTAATTACTTAGGAATGAATGGATATATGCTTCATTCAGGAAATATTTATTTAGCCCTAGCCAGTTTGGCTCAGTGGATAGAGCATCGGCCTGCAGACCAAAGGGTCCTGGTTTGATTCCTGTCAAGGGCACGTACCTTGGTTGCAGGCTCCTTCCCAGTCCAGGCCCTGGTCGAGGCTCATGCAGAAGGCAACCAATCAATGTATTTCTCTCACATCAATGCTTCTCTCTCTCTCTCCCTTTCTCTTTTTCTCTCCCTAAAAACAATGGAAAAATATCCAGGGGCGAGGATTAACAACAATAGAAAACAAAACAAAGAAACATTTAGCACATGCTATGTATTGTTATAAGGCACTAGTGATACAGAAAAAAAAAAAAAAGACCAAAGAATTCATAAGCAAATTGGAGGCAGACACATATCACAGTAATATTGTGGACTCGGGGTTTATCAGTGGTATGAAATATTATAGAAGTACATGGCGGGTGAAGTAGGGAAGTTTTCACAGCAGAGATGACAATTTTGGCATTTGAGGGATGAGTAGGAGCTTGCCATGTGGAAAAAGGGAGTGTACTCTTCAAGCAGAGGCAGCGACTTGAACTAAAGATGTGGAAAATGGAGGGTATCCTGTGTGACTAACCCATAAAGATGAATTGTAGGGAAAGGCAGGGACTGAGGCTGAGAAGAGGAGTGTAGGAAAGGCCAAAGATAAACTTAGGGGATCTCTAGGGAAGCGTCGAAGCATGTACATGTTGTAAAAGCCATCTAGGCAATTCTCGTGCACATCCCTGGTTAAGAACCATGCTGTGGATATCCTCATCTGGCTAAAATCAAGTAACAGGAACTCTGCCTGAAACTGTTTTTGTTAATTAAAACAAAACAAACAAACAACAAAAACAGTACTAGAAACAACAATTTTCAAAACACCAAGCATCAGGCAGTGATCGCTTATAAAGTGAAACAGAGGAGGAGAGTCCTAGGATTGTTCCAGCCTATACCCTTGAGAGAGTTTTCAGTCTATCATTGGGAGGTCTAACCGAGATAATGCTAGGTAGACTAGTCTAAGTTGAGCAATGGAACTGAGAGTTTAGGGAGAACAAAAAAAAAAGTTTGCAGAGTACTGGAGAGGAGATGGCTACACAAGGAAAGAACCCTGATGTTTTCAGCAGAGTACTGATCAGAACAAGCTTGTGAAGAACTACCTGAGGTTAAGGAAGAAAGTTTCCAAAATGATTATAAGGAACAGTTCCTGGTGCTCATACAGGGCTAGGAACAATACCTGTTTCTACCAGCCAGACTGGAACACTCTTAACTCATGGTTACTGAATAGAGTTTTCAGGAAAGTTTTGCCTCATTAGTGGGGAATAATTTAACCTATACTGAACAGTGCTTTGGACCCACCTAAAACATGAATGAAGACTCTAAATGATAAAATTATTCCTGAGTAACTGCATGCCAGGACAAGCTCAAAAGATTGATTGGGATTTTTAAAAATGAGTGCATGTTCACAATGTAAATGCACAATGTTTGACATCCAATCAAGGATTTCCAGGCATGCAAAGAAGTAGGGAAATATGACTCATAATGAGAATAATTAATAGAAGTCGACCCAGGATTGACCAGGTTATTAGAATAAACATAAGACATTAATACAGTGATTATAAATGTTCTGTAAATAGGCATATAGAGACATGAAAGATATAAAAAAAAACAAAAACACAACCCTAGATCAAACTTGGGCCTCATCTCAAATGGGTGGAAGGAGACTTAGGATAATAAGTTCCTTTCTGAGTTATCTGTGGGGGGGCCTGTGGAGATGCCCAGTGAACAACTGGAACCGGTGAAGAGAAGTCTTTTAACGATGACATTCATAGGTACCTGTACAAAAGACCAGCCAGTCAACAGTCTTGGTCTACTTCTGACTCAATAAGTCAGAATTTGTTAATGTTTCTCCAAATTTTATGCCGGTTGTGAAGTCTTACGGCCATGATCTAACGAGCTCCCCATTTTCTAGGACTTAGTCTTTTGCAGCAGAAGGGAAATGAGGATTTCAGGTTGCTAGTGGCCCACCTGAGGGACAGTCGAGAGGCAATGAGGAGTCGCATGCCTGACAGTACACGTTGGGAGGAGAAAGATGGAGCTGAAGCTGGAATGACGGGCGTTTCTGGAGGAGGGCTGGTGGAGAGCTCTTGCATTGTTTACCTCAGCTCTCCTTTTCTCTGCAGTGGCTGTCAGTGCGGCTGAAGACACAGGTCATCCCCAACTTGTCTTCTCCCAGGAAGGGAAGTATGTGAAAAATGGAGCTCCCGCCAATTCTAGGCCATTACTTTCTTCAGCATGGAACTACTTCACTGGATGGAGGAATTCCCAGCAGAGCACACACTTTGTAGAGAGATTTCAACACTTACCGTGTGTTTTGGGGAAAAACATTTTCACTTCAGGGAAACATTACTGGGAAGTGGAGAACCGAGATACCCGGGAGATTGCTGTGGGGGTGTGTCAGGAGGACATCATGGGGATTGTTGATAACGCAGAAATGTCTCCTCACTTGGGCATCTGGGCTATTTGTTGGAGTCCTGCTGGCTTTTGGCCCCTCACAGGCTCCTCTGTAAATCCTGTCAAGCTAGAGTCAGCTCTTCACCGGGTGGGCATTTTCCTAGATTATGGGGCTGGGGATATCTCGTTCTACAATGCTGTGGATGGAATGCACCTACACACTTTCTCTTGTTCTTTTGTCTCATGTCTCCGGCCGTTTTTCTGGTTGAGCCCGTTAGCATCTTTAGTCATCCCACCAGTGACTGGTGGGAAGTGATGATGGCTGATCTTCCCCACCCCAAGAATCCCTGTCTATGTCTCAGGGACACCATTTCTTGGCCCTCCTCTTTAACTTCATAGTGATCCTTCATAGCACGTCAGTACTGTCCACTCAGAACTCCAGTTTTGTGTTCTGTTCATCCCCCTGTGTGTCCCGTGCATAGACAGATATGGCACATCCTGTTGCCTTTCTAGCCACTGGCCCCACTTCTCAGCTTCTCCTCGGGCGCTTTCTAATGGAACCGCGTGGTGTCCGCCCTCTGTGGCTTCAGGAGAATCAGTCCCGTGTGAGGTAATTCTGGCCAGTGAGACAGGTTGGCAAGTTTTCCAGGGCGGGGGAACTTCCTGGGGAATATTTTTGTAGTTTCTAAAAAGAGGTATTTGGAAAGCCACAGCTCTTTTCTATATTAGCAGCTGTCTTTGAACTGAGGAGAGTACAGTAACAGTGGAAAGGAAGAAAAAACATGGTCTTTGCTGGCATCAAACTGTTGGAATTTCCCTAATCCCAAACTACTTGTTATCTGAGATTATTGCTCCCTTTTTGTATGAGGCGATTTTAGTTGCATTTTGGTTATTTGTAGACTGAAGTGTCCCAACTGGTGCTATAGGCACATAGCGTGGGCATCCCACGTTGAGGCTTGTCTCATTTTTTCCTGAAACTTGAAAAATGTATGGAATCCACATTCACTTCAATCGCATAATTACTCTTTCCAGTAACTACTGATATCCTTCACTTTTCTGGATCAGAAAACTGACTCTGCCCATGTTACTGCTCTCTTCACCTGACCAGGTCTCAGCCATCAAGTGTTCATTATTGTGTTTGTTATCATAGATTGAATATACAAGTTTATTGACATAGTGAAAGTGTTGAAAAACATTTAAGTATTTATACTGTGCTAGCCTCTTCACATAATGGTTTCATATGACTCTCTAACAGCTTGGTGAGATGGAGATTAAAATCCTATTTTTACAAGTGAGAAAACAAACCTTTAAAGTAATTCACTCATTATTGCTTAGTTGGCAAATGGGAGTGTTGGAATTCAATTTAGATCTGTTTGAGATGAAAGTCACATTATTTTTTTCCTACTCTGCATTTATTTGTAAGTATAGAATGCAGATTGTGGGTCAGCATAAATTTGTTTCTTATTTTCTTACATTTTATCCTATATATGTGTTTTTCTCTTTACCTTTATACTCTCAATTGTAAGCACTCAAGAGTATTGTGGAAGTTACTGGATAGTTATTTTAAAAATAATGATTGTTGCTCTCATTATAAAAGTCATGCACTTCTTGTAGAAAATTTGGAATATACAAAGTGTGTAAAGAAAATTAAAGTCATCAGTGGTCCCACCATTACTAACATGTTGATGTGTTTTCTCCCAGATTTTCAATATTTTCTGGAGTGATTTAACAAGGCTTCTTTCAAAACTTCTAGCACCCTCCCTAACCCTTCCCCTGCCTGTCCCAGCCCATTCTGACTTATCTTCCTATTCAGCCAGACCAGAGTGATTTCATCTAATGATTTCTGCTCAGTTCTCCTTCACTCTCCAAGTTACTGGAGGTTGTGAGTTGAATGTGTCTTCCAAAAAGATATGTTGAAGTCCTACCTGTGAGCATGATCTTATCGGAAATTAAATTGAGGACATTAGGGTGGGACTAACCCAACGTGAGTGGTATTCTTATAATTAGAGGGAAATTTGTAAACACACACACACACACACACACACACACGAAATGCCATGTGAAGGCCTGGAATATGGCCATAGGAGAGATTGGAATTACGCTATCACAAGCCAAGGAAAGCCTGGGGCTGCTCGAAGCTGGGAAAGGAAGGAAGAATCCTCCCCTAGGAGCTGCCAACACCTGTGGACTCCTGGCCTCCAGCACTGACCATAGACTCCTGTGGGGTAAGCCAACCAGTGTGTGGTGCTTTTCAATGGCAGCCCCAGGAAAGGAACAGGTTCCATCAGGACTTCTAGCACCTGCCTGTTCATTTCCAGCCTTTGGGAAACTTGTCAGTACCTTTGCTCCTTTCCTTGTTCTGGGCTGTTGAACTAGGTTGATTGGCTCTGCTCCAAGTCTCATCTGACTTAAAGGGGGCTCTTTGAGCTGCTTGGTAAACAAACTTCAATTTTTCATCCCTTGACTTCCTTTTATATCTCTGGTGGCAGTGATTCCAAGCTTTTTCTTCTTTTCTCAAGCTTTCATATCACTGTAGTGGGGATAAAACTTTACTTTTACCTATCTTAGGTTTTCAGATGTAATAGCTTTCCATTTTACTTGGAGTTTTCTTAATATATTTACTATGTTAAATGTATTAACTGCCTCATTAGGAGGGGGCATTTATTATGTGGCCTTGAGAAAGCTTATTTCACCACAGACACTTTAGCTTTGGGAGCAGAAATTAACACTTCCCCCAAAACAGTTGGACGATGACTTTTTTTTTTTTTTTTTAATCCTCACTGGAGGATATTCTTTTCCATTGATTTTTAGAGAGAGTGAAAGGGAGGGAGATGGAGGGGAGAGAGAGAAACATCAGTGTGAGAAAGATACATGGACTGGTTCTGGTTGCCTCCCCAATGGGGCACCCTCAACTGGGGAGGGGAGAGTAAACTCTCACTTAAGGTACATGCCCTTGATAGGGAATCTAAGCCTTCAGTCTGTAAGTTGATGCTCTGACCACTGAGCAATTTGGCCAGGGCTGACAATGACCATCCTACACTTTCTCCACTTGATCTTGACCATCTCAGATTTCAACCACAGCCCCCAAAGTTGGTGATACATGCTTTGTTTCTGTAAACAACTCATGCTGTGTGATCCTGAATAGGGCTCTGTTAACGTCTCCCGCCCCCCCCCCCCTCACCTCCCCCTGCCCTGGAGACTGGGCTTTTGCTATGGAAAACACTCTGGGCACATTTTTCAATGATTTCTAGTCCTCTTCTCACCCGCGCACCCCCCCCCCCCCCCCCCCGACGCCAGAGCCATGAGGGGGATCTTTTTCACCTTTTCTCTGAGAATTTGGTGGGATTCCTGGAGGTAAAACTAATGATATATGTGCCCCCTTTCCAAAACTGCAACCAAGTTTCTCACTCAAGCCAGTGTACTCAACCTTGTCAAATCTCCAATTAAACTTATGGCTCTGGTGGGGTTTTGCTTCAGGTAAGTGAATCTGAGCTTCAACTCTGGATCTGTCTACCCAGATTTTGGGGTGGCAATTTGCCAGGCAGCCTCAGTTCTCTGCTTGGTCCAAGAAAAGCCATTGCTTTTCAGCGCGCTCTCTTCTCTTCTTCTCTTCTCTTCTCTTCTCTTCTCTTCTCTTCTCTTCTCTTCTCTTCTCTTCTCTTCTCTTCTCTTCTCTTCTCTTCTCTTCTCTTCTCTTCTCTTCTCTTCTCTTCTCTTCTCTTCTCTTCTCTTCTCTTCTCTTCTCTTCTCTCTCTCTCTCTCTCTCTCTCTCTTTAAGGATATGAGTTATAACTTCCAAACTTTTTACATATTGGATCTGAAACTGGAAGTCCTCTATCATAATATTAAAAAAGTTTCTTGTAGACCTCTATAATGGTTAATTTTGACTGGGCTAATGGATATCCAGATGGTTGTAAAACATTTCTAGGTGTGTCTGTGAGGGTGTTTCCAGAACAAATGAACATGTGAATCAATAGACTAATTAAAGAAGATTGCTCTCACCAGTGTGGATAAATATCATCTAGTCATCTGAGAGCCTGAATAGAACAAAAAGGGAGAGGGAGGACAAATTCGTTCTCTGCCTCTGCTGGGACATCCATCTTCTCCTGCCATTGGACATTGGTGCTCCTGGTTCTTAACCTTCAGATGTGGACTGACATGTACCCCATTGGTCTCTTGATTCTTGGCCTTTGGATCCCGCTGGAACTCGCACCATTAGTCCCCATGGTTCTCTTTGGACTCTAACTGAATTATACCACCATCTTTACTGGTTCTCTAGCTTGCAGATAGAGGACTGTGGAATGTAGTCTTCATGGTCATGTGAGTCAATGGCCAATAATCCATCCTATTGCTTTTGTTCCCCTGATCAATACAATCTCATATAGTTGGGTCTTACTTTAAAAAAAAAAATACAGTCTGTCAATTTTTAACTATTCTTAAATCATTCACCTTTAAATTTATTGTATAGTGTATTAACATATACTATCTTGGGGTGGGGGCAGCTGGGGAGTGGTCAGTGGGGGAAAATGAGTTTTATGTAGTACTTTAAACAATAAAGAATTTTTAAATAAAAAATTTGTATGGTATGGATTTAAAAAAAAATGAGCTATCTTTCTAGCAAAGGCAAGTGAATCTTTGTATATCATTACACTTAATGGCACAACTAGTGTAGGATTCTGTGAACTGCCCTTGGACACTCCTAAAAAAGTATTATTATTATTAAAAATATATACCATCTTGCTAGCTGTTCTCTATTAGTTTCATTTCTTCTCTGTTTCTTTTTCCTTTTTCTGCCTTCTCTAATTTTGCTGAGCATTTTTGAAAAATCATTTTATCTCCTTATATACTTACTAAACTTCTTTTCGTCATTGCCATAGGGTTTACAATTTGAACTATGAATCTACCTTCAAATAATGTCACTTCATGTAAGGTGAAAGACTGTAACAATATGACCTTGATTCCCAGTACTTGTTTGATTGTTACACATTTCACTACTTCATATGCAATAAATATCAACAAATGGTTGCTATGACTACTTTAAACACTTACTAGCTTTAAACATCTTCTGGTATGTTGAAAGTATGAGGGGGGTGAAATGACAATGTGGAAAAAAAGACAATGAAGAAACCCAGGTAACTGAGGACTTATAAGATACTTTGGAAAGATATTTCATAGAATACCCATGCTGATGAATTAGAATCTATAGACTAGATCCTTAGGCATCCAAGAGAAACTCACAGGAAAGATTGAGAAAATCACTGCTCCTCTGGAGTCTGGATGCTGAGTACAGCCTTTTTTCTTATTGACTTGGTTGCT